GAAGCGAGGCTCAGATGGTTCGGGCACGTGCGGAGGAGAAGCCTGGATGCTCCGGTGAGGAGGCGTGAGCTGTTGGCTTTGGTGGGTACGAGAAGAGGTAGAGGACGTCCTAAGAAGTATTGGGGAGATGTGATCAGGCAGGACATGACACAATTGCAGATTTCCGAGGACATGACCCTTGATAGGAAGGTCTAGAGGTCGAGCATTAGGGTTGTAGGCAAGGGTGGTAGTCGAACTTCTCCTTCTCCTTCCGGGGGTGAAGCGAGTTTTGAGTAGGTTGGTCTTAGACAGCTTGTGGTTAATGTAGATTCCACACTACCCTTACTGTTTTCCATAGTTCTAGACCTTAGTTGCTGGTTATTGTTATTTCATGTCATCTATTTTATGGTTTTTAAGATGCTGTCACTATTTCCATGGTTATGTTGACGATACTGATGAACTGTCTTTCTTGTTTTATTTTCATTTTCCTGAGCCGAGGGTCTATCGGAAACAGCCTCTCTGCCCTATCGGGGTAGGGGTAAGGTCTGCGTACACACTACCCTCCCCAAATCTCATTTAGTGGGACTTTACTGGGTTGTTGTTGTTGTTGTTGTTGTAATCTTACAATATTATAAAGAAAAAGTAAAGTACGCGGTGAAATTATTATATAAGAAGGTAGGATAAAAGATAAAATAATATTATTTAATAATAAGAAATATCAATATGAGAGGGAAAAAAAAGGTAACGATGTGACCCTACCAGATCGATTATTACATAAAATAACATTTTTGTCTTTTTAAGTAACGACGGATTTAATATTACAGGGGTGAGCCTCTCCGAATGGAAAATATTATGGTTGGCATGCTTCCCACTCTAGTGACCTTATACAGTGCAAATTCCAATTAGTCGCACCCGCACAGCAATGAAAAATTTTAAAAAAAATAATTATGACGAAACCATCAATCATGCAGTGATTGTAAACCCCAAAAGGTGGATATTTAGGAGTAATAGTAGAAAATGATAAATTCAGCAGTGAGTATGACTAAAATAGTCCACTTTCTGTGGTCACAAGTCAGCAATTAAATTGGTTTAAAAAAATGTCTTAACTTCATTATGTAGGAATCTTTTAGATCAAATCTCCAACTACTTAACTATAATTCCAAGAATTATTTTAGAGATCTGTGCATCTGGGTATTCCTCATTTTAGTGTGTAGTACCTTTGTGTCATTTTCATTTGCTGTCTGTCAAATAGTACTATTCAATTATTGTCTTTCTTCTTGTCTCATTATTTTCTTGAAAAAAAAATTGTGTTTTTGTCCTTTGTTTTTCACTGTATTTTGTTACTACCTCACCTTATTATCTGTATAAATTCAAGAATTGTACTCATGTGATACATGTGCAAAATCTTTTTGCCCCCCTTTACATAATTCTTGAAAAAGATCCCAACTTTATTCTGTGATTATTCATATTTTCTGTGTTTTGATTCAATTTATGGAGAAATTTTTGCCCTTTGTAATTTGCTTGTCATTGTTGTTTTTGGGTAGTTGTTATTGTTCTATTAATGTAGAACAATTGAGGGATAAAATTACTTATTTGCCTGGTCAACCAGCAAATGTAGAATTCAATCAGTATTCAGGTTATGTTACTGTAAATGAACAAGCTGGAAGAGCATTGTTTTACTGGTTAATTGAGTCACCAATGAGTAGAAATCCTGAGAAAAGGCCACTAATTTTATGGCTAAATGGAGGGCCAGGTTGTTCTTCAGTAGCTTATGGAGCTGCTGAAGAAATCGGTCCGTTTCATATTAATTCTGATGGGAAGACACTTTACTTGAATCCTTACTCCTGGAACAATTGTATGTAGCAGATTTTAACTATTTTTTTGTTTTATATTCTGTTTTTTCTTGGATTTTTCTGATGAACTTGTGTTATTATGTGCAGTGGCGAATTTGCTTTTTCTTGAATCGCCAGCTGGGGTTGGATTTTCGTATACGAATACTTCCTCAGATTTGTATAATGCGGGTGATCAAAGAACAGGTAACGATAATTTAGTAATTGAATGTTTGTATGTGCTTTCAATGTGAGAAATATTGAGGATTCATAGTAATTATGTTGTTTAAACTGAAATGTTGAACCCTGGCGTTTTGATTTGTAGCTGAAGATACGTACCAGTTTCTCGTCAAGTGGTTCGAAAGGTTTCCTCAATACAAGCATAGAGAATTTTATATTGCTGGAGAAAGTTATGCAGGTACCTTATAACACATTAATTACTACTCCCTCCGTCCCAATTTATGTGGTGGTGTTTGACTCGGCAAGTAGTTTATGAAAGAAATGAAGACTTTTGAAACTTGTGGTCTAGAAAAAATCATAGATATTTGTATGACTGTAAATCAATGAAAAGGGTAATGTAAGAATTCTAAATAAGGAAGGTGACATTCTTTCTGGGACCGACTAAAAAGGAAAGAGTGTCACATAAATTGGGACAGGGGAACTGGGGAAGTAGCATCTATATTTTTCTTCTGTCTAGTGTCTGGTTAATTGAACACATTTTGTTAATACCTATGTTCTGCCGATTCTCCAAAAATGTTGTCGCACCCGTATCGGATCCTCCAAAAATACACTACTTTTGGAGGATCCAACATGCACCCGATGACATTTTTGCAAAGTCCGAGCATCATAGGTTAATACCTCATATCATAAGATACTAATTTCACTTTTCTTCTGTCTCTTTAGGGCATTATGTTCCACAGCTATCTCAACTTGTCTACCAAAGGAACAAGGGAATCAAGAACCCGATTATTAATTTCAAGGGCTTTATGGTAGTAGTAGTGACAATTTTAATGTTGAATGCAATGTTGAGTTACAGGCTGTTTTTATCAAAATCGATTTCTCTGACTGTTCTTTTTAGGTGGGGAATGCTGTTACCGATGATTACCATGACTATATTGGCACGTTCGAGTACTGGTGGACCCATGGCTTGATTTCAGATTCTACATACAAGCTTCTCCAGATAACCTGTGACAAAGGATCTTCTGAACATCCTTCCACTGATTGCACTAAAGCTCTTCTTCTTGCCGAACAAGAGCAGGGAAATATTGACCCTTATAGCATATATACTCGTCCTTGTGCTAGTACTTCATCGCTTCGGCGTAACTTAAGGGGTCATTATGTGAGTCTTTTCTTTTTATGCTCTTTTCTCACTCCACTTCTCGGCGGAAAATGTAGGTAAATTGTAGAATGCTTGACTAAGGTTGGAAAAGAATAAGATGATAGACCACTTGTGTTAATGTTGGTTTGGTTCTGAATACACTTGCAAAACTTTAGTTTGCTGAAATGACTGTAAAAGATATGGAGTTATATACTATATGGTTGAAAGTGTGCAAACTTTAGAATTGATCTCTCTATCTGAAGTAGGACCCTCTTGCTGGTGCCCGACTCGGCTAGTGACTAGCTTTATCCAAAATCGTACAACCTCAAAGATGACCAAGAAAGAGACAAAAACATAATTACCATTTTCTTTTATGAAATTTGGAGTTTCTAGTACTTTGTCGAGGTATATGCATATATTGAGGTAGTGTCCCCTTATGAAATAGATCCCTTTCTCAGTGGATCAGTGCTTTATGCAGGTGCCTAACCAACTGTTAAGTTACACCAAAAGATTTGCATTTTCGATGGTTCAGAGGTGCTGAATGTTTTATTATCTAGGTGCTTGTAATTTTATCTGAATGTAGTTGTCTGAGCGTGTGTGACAGAAACTGCAAGCGTTTAAGTGTCTTTATTGTGCAGTGAGTTTATAATGATCTCTTTTCTAGTACTGAGACAGTGCCAGTAAATGACTCTACCTTTGGCCGCTGCTTTATGTTTTCAAATGGTCTATCTGTGATATTAGGTTATAGAAAGAAAGCTTAATATAGTTTAGTAAACTTTCCTTCAGAGGAGAGCCTCTTCAATAGGTTTTTGGAGGGAGAGGATTTGGAGTATGGACAATTCTTTGAACATTTGCATCTTTGGTGTCCGCACCCTCACTNAGAAAAAGACAGAAGAAAAACTGCCATAGTTCTTAGTGGTAAAAGCTGTCTGTCAGAGCTATGTTAGAAGATACAAGCAGATTCCGAAGCTGTTATTCGCTTATCATCGATAACACGCTTGTTGTAGATTTCCATATACTTTTTCTTTTTCTGTGGATGTTCCCATGCAGTAAAATCACTAATGACTTAATTTTTTGGACCTGTAAAACAAGCGCGACATCTGCAAGGAAACCCGTCGATGCCAGCAATTTCCCCTAATTCTCCTTTCTTAACTATTAATCCTCCTATCTATGTTCTTGTTTCTAAAACAAGTTCTTACTTGACCCTATTTTATTTCAAGTTACATGTTTCAGATTCTTTTTATTAAGATATGTTTTCACATGTTATCATTCTGGACTTCACCATTTGGTCGTGTACATTTAATCTTGATATTTGGTTATCTATTAATTTTTGTAGATTCAAGTATTTAATCTTCTCTTCCTGTTTCAAACATGTAGCCATGGATGTCCAGAGCATACGACCCATGCACCGAGAGGTATTCTGAAGTTTATTTTAATCTCCCGGAGGTACAAAAGGCGTTCCATGCTAATGTAACTAAGGTTGCCTATCCTTGGAAAACATGCAGGTCTGTTGAAAAACTTTTGAAGTTTCAAGTTTCATATCTTCAAGCTTTTGATAATTTTTAACTGGATCTTTTTTGGTTTCCAGTGATATTGTTGGAAACTATTGGGCCGATTCTCCTCTGTCAATGCTGCCTATCTACCAAGAGCTAATATCTGCTGGTCTTAGGATATGGGTATTCAGGTAAAGCTAAGTCAGATAATTGTTTATATGAAGCTAGAGTTGATTGTGTTCCTTTGTGGTAATGATTAAACGTGTGCTTTACATGGTTGATAAATGATAATAATGCTTAGGTATGGGCTCCCCCTTCCTGTTCGCTCTTGTCTCCTTGTTCTTCTTCTTCTTCTCACCCTTTCTAAGCCGAGCGTCTATTGGAAATAGCCTCTCTATCTGCACTAGATAGGGATAAGGTTTGCGTATATACTACCCTTCCCAGACCTCACTTGTGGAGTGGGGTCTATACAGGTTTGTTGTTGTTGTTGCTTTGGTTTAGGCTTAGGATTCCGATGTGTTGAGACATTTTATTTAAACGGGGAGTCTTAACTTTGGAAGTTGCATACCTATAAATTATTTCTATGTCATTTTCTAGAGGACTTGGGCTTCCTTGTTATTTAGCTGATTTGTGTTGGCTTCATTCCCACAGACCCCACTAGTGAAATTTTACTTGGTATGTTTTTGTTGTGTTGGCTTCGTTGTTAGCATTAGAAATGTACTATTCAGCCTAGACCTAAGAAACATTCATTTGGCTTTTCAAATGAAGAATTTCAAGTATGAAAGGTAGACTGGAAACGTCTCATATTATGAGTCTCCTCTTCTAACTAAGTCGTAGAATGAACTGAGAAGCTTGTGTCATCTTGAATCATCTTCGTTTATGCATAAATGCCTCGTCACAAAAGAAAAAGGGCAGCCCGGTATACAATGCATCCCCTCACGTTGGGTCCGGTATGAGCGCTGGGTTCGGTGAAGGGCCGCACCCCAAGAGTTGTGATGTAGACAACATATCCTACTGCAAGTATTAGTGGCTGCTTCTATGGCTCGAACCCGTGACCTATAGGTCACGGCGAGACAACTTTACCGTTGTTCCAAGGCTCCCCTCCAAGACAACCTGTGCGTCGTCATAGAAGCACGGACAAAATTTTGATAACGTCTACTTTTCAGCTTATGCCTCTCTATTCCTCTGGAGTAGGGGTAAGGTCTGCGTAAACACTACCCTCCCCAGACCCCCACTTGTGGGATTCCACTGGGCTATTGTTGTTGTTGTTGTTGTCTACTTTTCAGCTTATCTTTAATCAGAACCTGATTTTCCTAAACATTTGGCTTTCTTTGCAGTGGGGATACTGATTCAGTTGTTCCTGTAACCGCAACTCGATATTCTATAGATGCTTTGAAGCTTCCAACTATCACCAACTGGTACCCTTGGTATGACAATAAAAAGGTTAGTCATAACTCATAACTGAGAAAATGGACATGCAAACTGTTTTCTTCTTGACAACCTTGCTTCTTTACCTCTCCAAAACCGAAAATTCATGCTTTCGTTTGTCCTTGTCGTTATTCTATGAATAGGTTGGAGGATGGAGCCAAGTATACAAGGGGTTGACGCTTGTAACTGTAACAGGAGCAGGGCACGAGGTGCCACTTCATCGCCCTCGTCAAGCTTTCATTCTATTGAGATCTTTTTTGGAGAACAAACCAATGCCGAGCTAAAACATGCAGGTTCCTCTGTCTATTTGCGAACAAACAAGTGAAAATCTGTAGAATAATAACCATATAATCGCGCTGTTCTTTCCCCTCGACTCGCATATTTCTGGTTGCAGTTGGAAATTATGAAGTAAAGGCCGCGGGGAGATTCAAGATTGTTACACCTTAATAATGCTTTACAGTTTACATTAGTTATATTAGAACTTGCATTCATATATTGGTTTGAATTCATTTTATAGATAAAAACATTAATTCCATGTAAATGGAGTTCCCAGTTGAAGACATTCACATCTTATAGGGAAATCAATTTAATCCTACTTGTTTGTAGCTTTTTTTTTTGTAGACAAATCTATGTATTCTCTGAGTATTATAGCTTGTGCTGCAGTACTTGTACCATTGTCTGTCAAATTCATTTTTTGTATCTCTAATTCATTGTATTAAAATTGCCAATAAAATTATCTCTAGTGTAGTTTTATATTGTTGCACCTAGTAGAATAAGAGAGTAAACAATGTGTTATGAGCTTATATGTTGCTTCCTGCGGTCCAAAATAAATGATTTTTTTGTCTTTTTATTTTGGTCCAAAATAAGTGTCATTTTACATAATCGATTAGGAATTAACTTTATTTTTCTAAAATTTGTCCTTATTTACATATCCCAATGTGTCACGTTAACAATATACACTTTTTAATTAAGGGTAAATTAGTCAAAATACATTTTTTCTCTAATAATTGGTGTTTTTTTAAGGGGTGTGCCAAATAACGATAAGTTATTTATTGTGGACCGGGGAAACATCTCAATTTCGTTCATCTTTTACGTTCTATCCAACATAAAATAATACAATATATAGGTTTCACGTGCAATGTATTGCCACTAATATTTAGTTCACATTCACGTGCACTCCAAGCGAGCATTTTTTGGAGTGCAAATTGAGTGACGGGACCCATAAAGTAGACGTAGAGGTAAAGCTTGATGCTCAGGTTATTTCCAAGAGAGCGAGTTTTAAGTACCACGGGTCTATTATCCAGGGCAACGGGGAGATTGACGAAGATGTAGAACATCGCGTCGGAGCGAGATAGATGAAGTGGAAGCTTGCTTCCGGTGTTTTATGTGATAAGAATGTGCCGCCAAGACTTAAGGGTAAGTTTTATAGAGTGGTGGTTCGACATGCTATGCTGTATGGGGCTGAGTGTTGGCCAGTCAAGAACTCCCACATGCAGAAGATGAAAGTAGCAGAGACGAGAATGTTGAGATGGATGTGTGGGTGTACTAGGAGAGATAGGATTAAGAATGAAGCTATCCGGGACAGAGTGGGAGTAGCCCCCGTGGAGGACAATATGCGGGAGTCGAGGCTGAGATGGTTCGGACATGTTAAGAGAAGAAGCATTGATGCTCCTGTCAGGAGGTGTAAGAGGTTATCAATGGAGAGTTTGAGAAGAGGTCGAGGTAGCCTAAGAAGTACCGGGGGAGGTGATTAGACAGGACATGGCGCTGCTTCAGCTCACTGAGGACATAACCCTTGATAGGAGGGTGTGGAGGTCGCGGATTAAGGTAGAAGGTTAGTGGGTAGTTTTTAGTTGTTCACCGATAGTCTTAGTAACATGCATGTTCCTTCATATTCTTAGATTTTTATTACGTTACGTGGTTTTGTTCGCCTCACGTATTGTATTCCCTATTGTTATTATTTGGTACTACTTATCCTTTATCTCTCCCTTTTTCTTTTCTCTTCCTTCTTCCTTCCTTCCTTCCTTGCTTTCCTCATCTTCTTCTTACCCTTCCTGAGCCGAGGGTCTATTGAAAACAGCCTCTCTACCTGCATTAGTTAGGGGTAAGGTCTGCGCACAGACTACTTTCCCCAGACCTCACCTGGAATCATACTGGGTTTGTTGTTATTGTTGTTGTTGTTAATATTTAGTGTCACACAAGAAACCAAGCGATATATTTTATTATTAATAGATCATGCTTTTTGTATTAATTTTTAAAAAAATTCTTATACTCTGTCTTATCAAGTATCATTCCATAAAATAATGGAAGAAAATGATCTCCTATATCCATTTACAAACTTAAATAAAATAAACCATCATTGTGTTTTATTTACCCATCTCTTATTTTTATTTTACCATCTTCGTGAAAAAGAGCAACGGAGTACAAAACTAATAGTCTATTTGGTCGTACTTCTTTTTGGCCAAAAATATTTTTTTGGTTACTAAAAATGATTGTTTCAAAGTCAAGGTATTTGACCAAACTTTTAAAAGAAAAAAGTAATTTTGAATGGAAACGGTTTTTGAGTAGCAAAAAAAAGTAATTTCTCCTAAAAATACTTTTTAAAAAGCACTTTTGAGAAAAATACACTTAAAATAACTTTTTAAAAGTTTGGCCAAATACTAATAGCTACTCAAAAGTAGATAGCGGGTAAGATTTGCATATATATATTATCTTAGATTTCACTTGTAAGAGTACACTATATATATTGTTATTGCTATTGCTATTGTATTTTTCAAAATAAGCTAATAGCCTGGTTGGCCAAGTTTTTAAAATAAGCTTATTTTGAGAAATGCTTTTTCTTAAAAGTGTTTTTCTACATTTGGTGAGAAGCAGTTTGTGTTTGGCTAATTAATTTTAAAAAACAACAATTAATTTTGGCCAAGTTTTTAAAAAGTGTATTTTTCTCAAAAGTGCTTTTTAAAAAAAAATATTTTCGCTTATGCTTCTACTCAAAAATATTTTTTTTATTCTAAAAGCTGCTTGGCCAAACACTCCAACTTTAAAAAAAGAAAAGAAAAAAAAAAAAGCCAAACGAGCAATGTATAATTTTAGAAGCCAAACAGGCTATAAATCTCCATGGAAAGGATAATAGTTATGCATAAGTTTATTCTAAGGATTATTTTTCATCTATCTATATACTATATTAAAAGCACGAATGTCCTTAGCGAAATATCGTTCGCCTTTTTTACCCTTTAAAAATAAATTTTAAATCGGACAAAATTGTAATTTAAGTTTTTTTCCTAATTTTTAGGAGTCCTAAATCAACTAAAAATTTGGTTTAAAATATATTCCTTATCTGAATATGTAGAAAGTTCTACATTTTGGAAATCGGTTAAAACTTTAATTTTTATAAACACTTCCCTAGGAAGGTAACAAAACCTTCCATGTTTATTTTTTCTAATATTAATTTTCAGAATAAGGAAATAAAAAAAAAAAGCAAATGAAAGGGAAAGACGTAAAGGATTTGCGTTTCTTTGCGTTTTTAACTCCTTTTCAAATCGATTCTTCTGCCTATAGGCTATAGGAATATAACTTTTAGTGGATAAAATTATATTACAGTTAAATATTTAAAATTGAAGATGAACAATATTAATAATTTAAATCAACAAGGAAATAAATTATTTGCTTCAATGCCGATAATAAATTATTAAATCTTTGAATTAATTAGTTAGCTAAAAATCTAATTCAAATCTTTTCTAAATTATGAATGGTCTTAGCAAAATGTTATTCGCCATCTTTATTCTTTAAAAATAGAGTTCACACCAGACAAATTAGTCATTTAATATTTTTTCAAATATTTAGGACATTAAAAACAACTAAAAATATAATTACTAAATCTTTCCTTAATAGATAAAAAGTCTAAAATTATGGCTTTAAATTAATTAAGATTTTACTTTATAAAAATACTTTTCTTAACAAACTACATGAACGACCAATACTCATATAAAGACTTTGAAGTCATTTAAAAAATTTATTCAAAAGAAATTTTGTTTTTCGTATATTCTATTTTTCTAACGACACAAGCATTTTTAGACCAAAACTATGGCATATTTGTCTTTAATTTGGATTTTATTTATATTTAATAATTTTATTATTTTTTAAGAGTAAAGTCAAAAAAAAAATCTATTAAAATCTATTTTAAAAAAGCAATAACAATCATTACACGAAAAAATGCATGAAGTTATTCTTAAACGTGAGTCATAATGCAAATTTTCTTTCAAAATTAGTCTTTGAACTCCAAAATGAATTTAACTTATGTATAATAAATATGACATTATGATGTAGAGAAAAATTAAATTGAACGCCACAAACGCAAAATGAGAATTACGGCTAAAATTCAACATTCAACATTTTCATGAACATATATTTTTTATTTAATCTTTATTTATAACTCAAGCAAATTATCGTGTAAGTAATTTTTTGAGATTTTATATTTATTAGAATAGAATACAACCGCAATGCGCGTATCCTAATACTAGTTACATAAAATCCAAACAACTCCTTAATCTAGCTAAAAGAAGAACTCTCGACTGAAAGAGCGATTATATTTGTAGGGGCAGAGGGCCAGGTTACCGCCGGGGAATCTGTAGTGGCATTTCAAGGAATTATTGCTCAGCTCAGAGGGAGAAATTCATTGAGATATCAGTTGAATGCTGATTTATTGAAGGTATTAATCCATTGACAGCACCACGAAAATGAATGTTGTAGCATCACCATTGCAATTGCCATATTGCTGCTGTACAAAATCCCTAAGCAGGAATCGGAACTGGAACCCAAAATCTGTGGCCTCAGCTTCTGGCGCTACTTCTCTTGTAATTGATGATACTACCCAAGGGCAAACTTCGACTTCAATGGAAACCCCAACGACACAGTCAGTTACAGCACGTCGACTCATATTGCTTCGACACGCTAAGAGTTCTTGGGACAATCGCTCCATTCGGGGTACCATTATTTTAAGTTATTTATAAAGTTAGTGTAAGAAAATTTAGGATTTAAGTTCTACGGGTTCAATCTTAAAATTATGAGTACAGACCTATTATTTGTTGCAATTTTAGTGGGTTTTTTATACATAAATTTATGCTATGCATTAAAGTACTATGTTCAGATCAACCCGACCGACGTGTGAGTGCTACATCCGCCACTGTTCAAGTTACCTTTAGCTGTTGTAGCAGGTGATATGTTTCAAGATAACAAATATAGATGTCCTTTGTCTGGCATGATAGTGTAAAGAATTCTTTAAAATGATAGTGTAATAACTTAAAACCAATATATGAAAAAGTTGCATATTTGGCAGTGTGAGTAATTTTTTCACCTTTATTTGTTGTAGCAATTAACATTGTCTTATTTTCAATTTTACAAATTGCCTGTGGATATATTTGATCATCTGATAGTGTAAACTTATTTACATGTGTATATAACTTAAAAACTCAATATTTAAAAGGTTTTCTGTTTGGTAGATTGATTACAAATAACTTGATCAACTTATTGGAATTACAAGTTGCAACTTGTGGAGTATGCAACTTTTAACAGTAAGTCAGTAAGTTACAATGGGTTTGATCGATTACTCGAGCTATATACATGAATCCCTTTTCTTTTCCTGTTTAATTTAGTATGTTTGATGATTCAGCACCTAACCTATTCAAATTTGTGCCATAGGGGCACCAATTTCCGTATGTCATTTCATCTATCCTTCTATTTGGATGCTAAATGATATTACTACTAGGTAGAAGTCAAAGACGGTTCCAAGATTTTAACTTGATATGTTTAACCTTTGAAGTTCTTAACGCTGAAAATTCGCTATACTTTTAAAATTTGAAGTGAAGAGAGACACGAAGAGCTCTTTAGACTCTGGTTTTTGTATGACTGTGAGTTGTAACAACGACATAGCTCAAATTTCATGCTTCTAAGACTTGAATTCCTGCCTCGTGGAAATGTTCCTTTTGTAAAGAAACAATTACAGTAAAAAGTTCATTGTGTTGCTCTATAAACAAAAGATACCAACTCTAACAATATAACCAAAAAATAAAAAAAAGAGTACTTATTCATACGTTTAATATAATATTTCTCATTATGTTTGAGCAGATCATGATCGTCCTTTGAGTAGAGCTGGACAACTAGATGCGATCAAGGTCTCGCAAAAGCTCCTAGAATTGGGCTGGATTCCAAAACTTATTTTATCAAGGTAAGTGGTTCTTTAAGAATATCTAGAGAGGAATTTTCTATGAGAATTTTAAGCTGCTAAAAACTTAATTTCATATTAACAAACTAAGTGGTTGTTTCTTTTTCTTGACGTCATAGTGATGCACTGAGAACTCGGGAAACACTGAAAATAATGCAGGAGCAAGTCCAAGCCTTCTTGGAAGCTGAAGTACATTTTATTTCAAGCTTTTATTCTGTTGCAGCAATGGATGGGCAGACCGCTGAGCACCTACGACAAGCAATTTGTAAATACTCGAGGGATGAGATCTTTACAGTCATGTGAGTTTTCCTTCTGCCTTTGATTCTTTGGTGGTGGCATTTGACATAATGAAAGAGCATTAGTACACTGCATGGAAATCTATTACGGTGCTTGATTGAAAGAAGTTATCTGGAGCTAGTATATTTTCCTGTTTTTTAATTTGGATTTCTGCAAGGGAAGTCACTCTTGTGTGAATTTTTCCCATCATTTTTAGTATTGCCAACCATAAGAAGCAGTAGTTGCTCGGAATTCAGACTATATAAAGAGCAAAGAAGAAGAATTTTATAGGACTTGAAACCCGAAAGAAATTCACAAGACTCAAAAAAATGGAGAGCTCAAGCTGCTTGAATTATTATACAAAAACATGTCTCACTCACGGACAAAGACCACTGAAAATATTAAGGGTAGAGGGACGGCATGTTGTTTGTGAAATAGTATCATAACAGGCTACTTAGGAGCAAGGACAGGAATTTTTTTCATTCCTCGATATGAGTGTTTAGGGTGCAGAGAGAAGTGTCATTTATTGGACGCAACATGGGGAGCCATTCTTCATTGCAGAAAACTTGAGGGAAAGGACGACCCACATTTGTTGGTGGTTTATGTGCAAGGAGACATGAGAGATGTCAATCATTTGTTACTTCACTATCCGACTGAATATATATTATGGTATACAGTATGGAATATGTTGGGAGTTGAATTGGGTGGTGTCATGATCGTCAAAGATATGCTACTAGTGTGGGTATTCAGCAGGAGGATGTGGAGGAGAGTATAGGAAATAGCTCCTTTATCACTTTTGTGGATCAGATGGAAAGGGAGAAACATAAAAGAGTTTGAAAGAGTTAATGCATTCCTCTTTACAATTGGTGAAGTTTCTTTTCTTTTTTTTGTACGCTTTTGGAGCATAAATGATATTTCAGTCAGTATTGACGACTAGATGCTCTTTATAAAGAATCATTTTTTTGTGAAACCCTTTGCTTTTTGTATACAGTTTGTATTCAGAAGGGGTTTCCCATTATTTCGAATGATTTAACTTGATTAAGAAATAAAATTGGGACATGTACAATCTTCTGTTTCATCTTCAGTGAGAGAAATGACAGTTTGATATGTCAATTTCCAGTTATTGGGTAAAGTGCTTCATAGCAAATTACTACAATTTAATCCTCTATTCAGGTGCATGGGTCATAATAGAGGATGGGAGGAAGCAGCCTCAATGTTTTCAGGTGTTACTGTGGAACTAAAGACTTGTAATGCTGCTTTGCTTGAAGCCACTGGGAAGTCGTGGGAAGAGGTTTGGTCATTCTTCTGTAACTTTTGGTTCCATTTTTGCCAGTCCTACTTTGCAAATTCAATTGCATCATGAATGTCAAAGTAGCATATGATAAGTTGGTATAGAGAGTTTCAATGTGAAGTGAAAATGCTAGTGACTGCAAAATAGGGCCCCATCATCCCGAGAAAATAACTTAAATCCGCAAACTTGTCAGTAACAAACCATGTTCAAATCTTGAGATGTGATGATGACGATGTGCATGCTTTATTGAACTTTAATAGTTTCATAATCTGCAAAATGAAGTTTCTAAGATATTTGATCTTATCTGACTTAAGTGCTCTCCTTAGGCATTTTCTCTGGCTGGACCTGGTGGGTGGAAACTTCAAGGGCTTGTGAAGCCAGACATTGCTGTTTAGAGTTATCTCAGTTTAAGAAAAATAATCAGACATTTGAGAACCAGCAGCCATGAAATTGCAGGATAGAAGCAGAGTGAATTAAAATCTGTCAATTGTTCGTTGCGATCTGTATTCAGGTATCTTACTAACACCACCGCCCAGGCCTTGCACGCTCAAGGGATAAGATCAATATCTCCTAAACTTCCCTTGGTGCTTCACTTACGTTCGACACTGTCATTAAGATGTATATTGTCTTTGTACTAAAAGGTTGATTTTCACTCAAAAGGTAGAGGCTATGCCAACAATCTCATGTGTAGCACAACTTTGTTGGATAATTCAAGCCTGCTTGTCTTGCTAGACTTATACTCATGTAACCACTATGTAGCAGAACAATAAATTTAAATTTGGCCAAAAGTCTATTAAACTAAATTTGTGGTTCTTGCACATTTTTCTGGTTGAATTCATAAATTTAATGCCGAAATCGAAAGGAACCGCGCGTACGCTAGAAAGACGTATAGGCAAGCCTTTCTTTATGATCATAAGGATTGCTTTTCGTGACTTTTCTTTTCATAGGCATAGATTGCAGTCTAACCAGCTTTCTAACTTTAGGGGTGGAAGAGGATGTATGCAAGTGATTTTAACATCGTGTTATACGTTCCGTCTTTCAGAAACATGGTCGTGCTATACATTCCCTCTTTCAGAAACATGGTCAATATGGTCAATGAAGATTCATATAAGTGTTTGTAACTAAGGCGCCCTAAGCTTGCACGAGGTAAGCCCCAAAAGTCAAAGCACGCACAATAGGAACTTTATGGGGATTCAAAAATAGTCAGATTTACAAGTGGTAATTGAAAAATAGCCACAGTTTCAAAAGTAATAGAAATTTAGTCACTTTTCATGTAAGATAAATCTGAATGAAAACATTGTTCAAAATCCGGAAAATATTCAATCATAATATACTGAAGTTCGAATTTTTTACATGTGAACTTCCAGCATAATATACTGGAGTTTCAGTATAATATTCTGGAGTTCCAACATAATATACTGGTCCAGCATAATATGCTGGAAGTTCATACAAAGATGCAGCAATTTCCAGTATATTATGCTAGAATTTTCCGTATTGCAGCAAAATAATGGTTATTTTTCGATGACTTTGCAAACGCTGGCTATTTTTCAAGGGAGAAATTCAAAAATAGCCAGATTTACAACTGGTCGTTCAAAAATAACCCAGTTTCAAAAGTAATCGAAATCTAGCCACTTTTGATGTAAAGATAAATCTGAGCGAAAACACTGTTCAAAACCCGAAAAATACGCCAGTATATTATG